ATGCGGAGTACACCGGCTGGTTTCGGTGAAGGCGTGCGCCAAGAGGAACATGTCATCCACGCCGATTCCCAACGCCAGAAAGGGCAGGACCTGTAAGAGGAAGGCAGATGGTTTGTCACGGGGACACGGGGGGAACGGACCTCCCAAAGCCTCTTCTCATTGAAAGGAAGACTGTCGTGTATTTTTAGCTGTTACTGGGAAGTTTATTGGCCATTTCTGACCTTTCACTTATTCGTTGGCTTGTAATGTACACACGTGGCTGACCCCCATATACATTATAATCTATACATAGAGAGTCCGGGGAACATTGACACACATGGCTGACCCCCATATACATTATAATCTATACATAGAGAGTCCGGGGAACATTCACACACGTGGCTGACCCCCATATACATTATAATCTATACATAGAGAGTCCGGGGAACATTGACACACATGGCTGACCCCCATATACATTATAATCTATACATAGAGAGTCCGGGGAACATTCACACACGTGGCTGACCCCCATATACATTATAATCTATACATGGAGAGTCTGAACATTGACAGACGTGGCTGACCCCCATATACATTATAATCTATACATAGAGAGACGGGGAACATTCACACACGTGGCTGATCCCCATATACATTATAATCTATACATAGAGAGTCCGGGGAACATTGACACACAGAGAAAGTTACTGACACCTTTTGGAGAATCGGCGTACCTGGGTAGTGGCGGCATTGAAGGAGATGCCGAGTAGGGAGCAGAGCCCCAGACCTGAGGCCACGGACAGGGCTACGAGGAGGACGCCGGCCAAACCCACCGCCCCTTGAGACTTGGAACAGTCCCAGCGCAGCATGGTGACACAAGCATACGCCAGCTGGAAGAAGAAAACAGGTTTGTGTATCAGTATTCGAGTATTTCCAATTCCACGTCTATCGGCGTGGCAAGATAAAATGAATCAGAACTCCAGGCCCGGGATTAAAGACTCGAAATGGACCCAGTACCGTCCCTGTACAGCAGAGCTCAGATTGGGAGAAGGAGAAGCTGCGGGGCTCACGGGGGGCATTCGGGCAGCAGGAGAAAGCAGAGTGACAGAGAGACGAGCTCATCAGTCCTGCTGCTCCTCCTTTCATTGACCAATCACAAGCTGGGGGTGGGAGAAGGCCTGTGCGTGGGACTGAACTACAGAAGAGATAAATCAGGTCTCCTGCCCCGCCTAGCCAGAGCTGTGCCGTAATGCAGAGCTGTGCCGTAATGCAGAGCTATGCCGTAATGCAGAGCTGTGCCGTAATGCAGAGCTGTGCCGTAATGCAGAGCTGTGTAAATCTTAGGAGTGAATGGAAAGAAATATAAATCATTTGGCAGGTGAAGCATTTCCCTTATACAGTACGGGGGGGGGGATTTATATAAACTGGAGCAGAAGAATCTGAAGCGGTTGCCTGTGCCAACCAATCAGCTTCTCTCTTCAATTTGTTCAGGTAAGGTTTGAAAATGAAAGGTGGATGCTGATTGGTTGCCGTGGGCAACTGCTCCAGATTCTGTTTGCTCGAGTATTGATCAATTCCCCTTGATGTATTTAGCTCTTTGCTTGGAGTTCGGCTTTCATTTATATTTATATAATTCGGGATACATTATATTTATATAACTCGGGATACATTATATTTATATAACTCGGGGATACATTATATTTATATAACTCGGGATACATTATATTGATAGGTTTATTGAAACATTGTGTCAGGTTGTTTCCATGTGATACAAGTAAAGCCGACATTACCACCTAAAGGTTACAGTTATAAAGCGGTGAATGTGATTTTCACCAAACACTCACTGGCGGTGAATCAATCCCTGCCTTGTAAAACACATGCCAGTGGAAGATTCACCTGCGGCGAATGTGCAGATTCATGGTCCCCTTATTTTTGCTTCTGTTGCAGAACGATGAAGCGTAAGTTAAACATTTCATACCATCAGCAGGTAACCGCCGGCCACGCGGATGACGCTGACGTCAGAGAAGGACTTCATGATGTCGTTCAGTGTGGTGGTGGAAAAGGCGTGAATGTCCTGCGAGGCGTTCTGCCCGATGGACTGCTGGGCTTGCTGCGGAAGATTAAAAAAAAAAAGCTGTGCTGTCAGAGTCCGGCCCAGCGATAAAACCC